ATTATATGCCTATGTGTAGATTTTTTTTTTTTGATCAAGGCTAGTTGGAGTCCTATATGCCTCACTTATCTGTATGTCAAGTTCTTTCCCCCTGCTTGGGAAATTTTCTGCCATTACTTCTGTGAAGACTTTTTTTATGTCATCTGCACTCTCTCCTGTTTCTTCTTTGACTCCAGTCAGTCTTACATTATTCTTTGCATCGTCCAGCAGCTGCTGGATTGATTTCTCATGTTCCCTTACAATTTTGAAGCAATTTTTCTTTTCCTGGTAACTAATAGCAATCTTATCTTTTATATCTGAAATTCTGACCTCACATTGGCTCATCCTGCTGTGTAGACTTTCAATGGAGTTTTTCGTGTCCTGGAAATCTATTTGCATCTGTCTTATGGATTCCATTTGTTTCCTATGTTGGGATTCCATCATGTTTCTCAGCTCCTCTCTAGATTTATTAATCATGTTTTGCACTAGGGGCACAATTTCTCCTGTTATGTGAGAAATTATTTCTGATTTCATTTTTTCCAGATCCCCTTTTGTTGCCAGTTCAGTGGGTCCAGGAGGTTGAATATCAGAGTGTTCCATCTCATTTCCCTTTGGGGTTGCTGTAGGTGATCTGCAAGTCTGGTTCTGAGGCTTGTTTACTTGTCTTCTCATTTTGATGGTTGCGGGGGAGGTTGTTCCTGGCACCTGCGCGGCTCACCTCCTCTGTGCTGGGAGCCACGGCACGCCTACCCGGAAGCCTCCTCCTGCCTGTGAGCCATGACATGCTGACCTGGAAGTCTCCTCTGGGGTGGGAGCCATGACACAGTGACCCAGAGGCCTCCTTGGTGTTGGGAGCTGCGGCATGCCTACCAGGAAGCCTCCTCTCCATTGTTTTCAATCTTAAGGTCATGTGGTATATGACTTCACAGAATAGAATGCTGCCCAAGTGATTGGGGTGCTCTCAAAGTAATAGGCTTATAGATAATAGGACTGTATTCCTGTTGGTTTAAAGGCACTGCAGGATTTCTGGGCATATTCCATTCTTTTGTATTTGTTGTTGCAGATAATTCTTGATTTGATAGCTGCCAAAGCTGTAATCTAAGGGAAAATTTAGGGAAAGAGTCCTTGCAGATTTAGAGAATATTTGCCACCTTCCCAGACACACCCACTAAGACATAGATTATAAATTACTGTACTTGATAGTCTGTCAAACTGTTAGTTTATGATAGGAGATCTGTTTAGCAAAGTGACTAGTATCAGTCATCTGTACACTTTGGCTTATAGAAACAGAAAAAAGAAAAGAAAATGTGTCACCAAAAGACAATTCAGTAAAGGCTAGAATGACTTGAAACTATCCTTCCTGTACATTTTTGTGTAGTTTATTGGTGCAGGTGATTCTGCATATATTTGTGAAGTGCCTGATCTTCTCATGAAGTGTTCTGGTGAATGGTACCAGCACTCACCTGTTGCCTCAGCCAGAATCTGCACTGAGTCTGGACCACTGGAAAGTAGGATCCTTGGACCAGAATCAGCAACATTGCCTAGGGTCTTAGTAGAGACACAAAGTCCCCAGACCTTCTGAAGCAAGGTCTTGAGCAGACCTCACAGTCTGAGTCCCATCAGGCCCCAGGGGGTTCACACCACATTTAGTCCCTGCTGAGTCTGCCTTTCCAAAGACTCTAGAGCAGTGGTGCTGAACCTCCTTCCTGTGTGCTGCACTAGGCTGTTTGTCTCATTGAAAGCTCTGAAAGGTTCACCATCAACTGCTCCAGGTCCTCTCCTCCCCATACCCCTTTCCTCAGTCTGGGTTGCGGAGGTTATGATTTCTCACTCACATTATAATTGTAGTTGCTTAATTGATCTTTTATCTTCTTGTTCTTGCTCCCCTCGAAATCATCTTGCATTCAGACTGCTTAGTGTGCCCAGCCCACTCACTACTAGGCATAAAGTAGGCACTCAACACTGGAACTTTGAATGAACTGATGAATGAATTGTCATCAGAGGGATTTTTAAAAAGCACATCTGATCTTACCATTCTCTTCTTTAACATTCTTTGATAAATCCTTGTGATTCTCAGATTTCTCTTTCAATTTCTTTATATCTTCCACCAGGCCCATTAGGAGTTGGCCCCTGCTTGCCTCTGCACCCCCCATCCTCTTGTTGTCCCTTTAGGCCGAGCTGTTGTTTTTTGCTCGCTGCTAATACCTGCATGATACTCATGTGCTTTTTTCACTTAGCTTTTGCTCTGCTGTCCTTTGCTTTGGTTTCCTTTTTTCTTTAACTCTGACTGACATTTATGTGCCAGCCACCTACGTAAGGTACAGTAGGTAGCTTCCAGTCACTCACATGCTATATGCAAGAATGCCTCTCTTCCTTTGTCATCTGGATTAATGGCTTCCACTTCTCAAAACTTCATTTAGGCTTTGCCTCCTCCGAACATTTCCTGATGTAAATACCCTTCTGGGAGTTTAATGCTTCCATGCCTTAGATCTACAGTACATTTTGTGTGTTCTTAGCACCCTTCTCGTAGGCTGTTTTACAAGGCACAGCATCACAGATGTGACATTCTGTTCTCTGACCGTTCACTCTTCACTGCCTGGACCACATGCTCCTTACCTCAGGGACCATGTCGGATTTGCTTTGTGTTGTATGAGCCTGCACTTTGTCAGCATCTAGAGAGGCGAATGGAGGAAGCGTGTTTCAGGAGCTGAACCCAGGGAGCTAAAGTTCCAGGGACACAGGTTCTGCCTTCCAGGCACTTATGGGGAGAAAGAAAATAATCCTGTGTGTGTGTTATGTTGTCATACATCCCATGAAAGCAGTGTGATCGTGTGACATGGAAAAGAACTACTCGTAATTTGAGGAGAGAATGCTGAATTGAAGTCTTAAGGGATAATGGTAAAAAGAAGAGCAGCCAAAATTTATTGAAAGCATATTTAATGCCAGGTGTTCTACTTAATAGGTTAAGTGTATTTAGCAGTCTAATTTTGGGGGTGCTGTTGATTCATTCAACAAATGTTTATTGAGTGACTGCCATGAATACCAATCAGGGTACCACGATGTAACAGGGAATGATGCCAAGTCCCTGCCTTCAAGCAGTGTAGAGTCTAGTATGGATTGAAAACTTGAACCCGCAGCACGTAGTCACGCTTTCCTTTCTTTCAGTATTCTGTATTAGTCATCAAACACAACTATTATCACAATGCTTATTGAAGACATATTTTCTTTATCAAGATTAGAGTTAATTATGCCTTAGTTACCTTTTAAATTGTTGCTTTCATTTTTGAGAATACGTCCTAAGCTTCTTAGATTTAAAAAGAACCCTCATCTTAACTTTAGCACCATAATCATACCTATGTTTTATACTTTAATACATGGATTTCATTTTGGGAAAATTATCATATGATTAATTTCATCCATTAAGGTTGGCTTCTGTTAATTTTCATTTTAGAACAACATTTACATGTTCTCCAGATTTTAGGTTTATGTCTTATTTATACCTCTCTACCCATCAACTACAGAGAAATCTGCCAGGCCATGAGTTTTTAGGATTTTATAAAATTTCTGTAACTTCCATTACCAGTAACTGGTTTGCATCCTATAGGCAGCTGATATACAGTGGTAATTTTAAATCAGTTTTTATAAGCTGGCTGAATTATTGATAAAATCCCAAAACACTCAGTAGCTTTCATAACAGTGAATTATTCCATTGTAGGAACTGATGCCTTGGGATCCCCCATACTACAGTGGTGTGATTCGTGCAGAGAGGTAAGTTTTTCAAGAAATTCCTATGTGAGAAGGAAGAAAGAAAGTAATATTTATTGAACACTTTGTACATTAGTTATGCAACCACCGTCGTCTATTTAGGGCCCACATTACAAACTTGTTCCCTCTCAAATTTATCCCCTCTGCCTGTGCTGTCAGCTCTTGCTCGATTTTTTTCCTCCAAGTTGCAAAGTTGTGCTGTGACTTGGGAGCTTGTTTGGCGGTTCTAGCAGGGGAGTGCAGTGACTTCTATATCCTTGACTGAGGAAACAGTCCTCCTCTGTCAGGTGGTCATCCTCTCCCACCGAGTGAGCTCATGGCTCCCGGGAGGGACGCACATGGAGCAGTGAGGGGGCAAGGGGACACTAGCCTAGCCAGCCACATCAGCCGAATCAACCTTGGCGATCAATGGGATGAAAGATGTCGTAGCCAGATCCTCCTCACATCCAGTCATCCTCTGATTGATGATGCCACGCTTACCCTCCCCACAACCCGCATCCAAAAATGCTTGTGCATTTTTGTGTTTGCAACTCTGAGCTGCATCCTTGTACCGTCCAGAGCCAGGCCCTGTCTTGCTCCCCCCATGTGCAGCTTCCTGGTCCTCTCACTGGACCGCGGCATCAGATAGTGGTGGACTTTGCTGGAGACCTGGCTGTGTCGCCTTGCTGGTGTGCTCATGTTCAGCAGTGCGTGTTGGACCTGTGAAGGAATAAGCAGGCTTGTGGTGGTGCTATTGATTTTTGTATGTTTTCTCATTTTTATGTGAACACATTGTCAACACATTATTGGCATGTCTGGAAAGATATAAATGAAATAAAAAGTTAAGAAATAAGTTAATTGAAGTTCTCCTCTGGCTTCTGTATTCTCCTGCATTTATTAAAGCTTAGATATACTTTTTTCTTCCTGAACATACCTTACTTCGGTTATTTTTATATTTACTTGCAAACCCAAGAAAGAGTCCTGTTTAAAGTTTATGTTCCTAACAACTGTATAAGCCCAATAGAATTTTTAAAAAAAATCTCAGAATCCTACCCTTAAACAACTCATTTACATTTTTCTTTTGTAGTTAATTTTTAAGATATGTAGTTTAAGAGAGTTATGATTGGTTTGGGTTTTTAAAAATCTTTTCTTAGTTCTTTGATTGGTGTTAAGCTTTAAAATGTTTTTGTTACCATGCACTATTGAAACATCAACTAAAGGGTAATAGGTACCTACAAAAGAAAACGACTCAATCCAGTAGTAAGTCTTTTGGAAAGAGAATGTCATAATTGTTCAAATGGCGTTTTTTCATCCATCAGCCTTTCTGAAGGCAGCGTGGCCCTCGGGAGGCCCCGTAACGCGCATCTGTTCTCAGAGCCTTCACTTGCTGACTCTGAAATCCTCAGCTGTAGTGGAGCACAGGGTGACTTACCTCATAGCCACATAGGCTTTACCTTATTTTAATCAAAGTTTCAGTATTAGTTCATTTATTTGGCTTAACTCAGTAAAGGAACTGGGGAAAAGGGTGCAGAAGAGTCTCAGAAAGGATTATATGAATTGGGGGGTTTAATCATCTATTTTGTGTAGCTTACCCAGCATAGGGTTGAATTTGGGTTTGAGGTTTTAATAATCTTGATTGACAAGAGTGGGCAGAGAAGCAGAAGTAATGGATGATTAAGAAAGGGAAAATATAATAGTTTGGGTTTGAGGTTAGAAGAGTAGAACAAAGCAAAGACTTATAAACCCTTGTTAAATTCATCAACTTTCAAGTAAAGCCTTAAATGTGTGATTAGATGTAAGAGGAAAAATAGAAGGGACTTTCCTTGATTTGAGCTTTTCTTCAAGCTAACCCCAGGTACTTTTTTCCTTTTATGTTAAATACTTCAGGCTCTTACACGTCTGCCTAAAGAAGAAAAGAGCCCACTTAGAAGTAGGGGACAAATGAACATGTTTTAAAACTGCTGAAGATTGATCTGGGAGAATAGTGTGTCAGAAGACTGTTGGGAAACCTTAACAAGCAGCTCACTTTTCCTTCAGGTTTTAGTATTAGATTCTCTCCAGAAGGGGGAAATTAATTGTTTCAACTGTGAAAAGTATGAAGTGATTTTATTTGAGATTAAAGTTTATTTTTGAACAGGCAATACATTCACATGGTACAAAAAGTTAAAACAGGGCTCAGGGATTTAGCTTAGTGGTTCTGGGGCCTGCCTCACAAGCGCAAGGTCCTGAGTTCGATCCCTAGTACCAAAAAAAAAGTTAAAATAGTGTTCAGTAATTGTCAGTTAAGAAATGTTGCATCTCACCCCTGTCTCTCTCCCAGAGGTCATCATTTTAAATTTGATTAATCTACCCTTGCAGTATTGGGGTTTATTTTTAATGCTTTGGGGACATTGTTTCTTTACTTCTAGTAATGACTTTCATTGAATCATATTTCATTTATTTTGGTGCTTCCTTACATTAGGATGTTGTTGGGAAGTAGAATTCAGTATTGTCTTTTCCTCGTTAAGATATATTTTCAAAATCTCAAGAGCATTCACATAGTGAATTAGGGATGTTTTCTGTTTTAAATTATTTAGAAATCATTGGACTCTCACAGAAGGACTTTTGTTTGATATGTAAAATTATATACTTTATTTGTTGGTGTAGGCATAGTGACCTCATTGGTTTTAAAGTTTTAAAAATTAACCTTTATTGTGAAACTTTCAAAATAAATAGAAGTAGAAAGAATAATTATAAGTAACCCTCATATGGTCATCATAGAATAAAAAAATCAGCAAGATTTTTAAAAATATTATTATTATTTGCTTTTGCTTTTCTTTCTTCTGCTTCCCTCCCTTGTTACTAAAATATTTTAAAACCAATCTTAGAATTCCAGTCATCCGACTCTGGATATTGTATATAAGTCCAATATTATTATTATTATTAACAGTAATACCATTATCTAATATCTAGTCTATGTTCATATTTCCTCTTATGGATTCTGTGTTGTCAGCTTTCCAATCACTGTAACAGAATACCTGAAATAATCAAGGAAGGAAGGGAGAAAGGTGTATTTTGGCTTGCAGTTTTAAAGGTTTCAGTTTAAGGTCCTTAATTAGCTTCATTCCTTTGGAATTAGGAGGAGGCTCTGCATCACAGTCGGGCTGTGTGGCGGAGGAGGCAGCTCACCTCCTATCAGCGAAGGGCAGAGAAAGACAGTAAGGAGCAGTATTCTCTTTAAGGGCATGGTCCCAATAACTAACTTTCTCCCACTAGACCAACATCTTAGAAGCTCCACTACCTCCCAGTAGCACTGTGTGCTGAGACCAAGCCTTCATCCTGTGGTCCTTTGGGGGATATGTAAGATCCAAAGTGTAGCAGTATCAAATCTGTTTTCCCAGTTAGCTTGTTGGATTAGGGTTCAGGCAAGGCATACACATTCCATTTGGTTTTTCTATCTCCCAAGTCTCTTGCTTGAGCAATTCCCCACACCTTATGATTCCCAGGAGCTATTATTGAAGAGACCATGTCATTTGTCTTAAAGAATCTTCTGGATTTATCTGGTTGCTTTCTAGTGGTATCATTTCACTAGTTCCTTTCTTGGTGCCATGCCTGTAAGCTGGATGCTATATCTAAAGACTTGCTTTTAAACATTTTCCATTTTGGACAAAGATATTCACAGGTGACGATGTACACCTTTTCATATCAGAACACATAAAATAAAAATATCAGTAACCACCCCTCCCCTCCATTGGTGGTGCTGAGATTGACCCTTAAGATGGATTAAAGCCAACCCGACCTGTGAATTCTGCTGGTTAGGGTTTCCCTCTAAACTAGGAAGTAATCTACACGGTGTTGGCAGCTAGCTCCCTATCAGTTGTTCAACTAATGGCTTTAACACCCTTTGATAGTCCTGGCATGAGTAATTCTTTTAAATTACCAATTTTCAAAATAAGGATTTAATAGTTTCCAGAAATGATGCCCAATGATTATTTTTTTGCTCTATTGAAAATGTCATTATAAACATAAGAACTTCATTGATTCATTATGTTTCATTCCATGCTAGTCATTTTTGGGGAGATGCCAAAATTGTTATAACTTGGCCAATTACACCGAAACTTTTTAATAGCTTGATTTTTAACTCAGTGTTTTAGGAGATTGTTCAGGGAAATGCAAAACACCTGCTTTATGTGACCCAGTTGCTACTGAGAACCAGTTGCTGCCTTCCTGCAGGGCAGGAAGGGTGAGACTGCTCCAGTACTGAGCCAGGAGATTCCATGCTGTGGGCTGGGGTCTGAGGATGGCCTGAGCACGTCTTTTTTTGTTGTTTTTTCTCCAAACTATTTTTAATAGTAAAAAGTATTTAAAACTAAGAGGAAAAATATATTTTAAATGTATAAGAATTCATAGGTTATCAGTGGGGTGGAGAGGCAAAGGGAAAAGAGGAAGGATGAGATGACCTACTAATGAACAAGAAAAGAACAAGCAAGGCAGTGTTATTGGAGCTACACCCCTGTAATCTCGGCACAATAGGGGGCTAAGGCAGGAAGAACACGAGTTCAATGACAACCCAACCTGTGCAATTAGTGACTTAGTGAGATCCTGTCTCAGAATGAAAAATAAAGACTTGGAATGTAGTTCAGTGTGAAGACCCTGGGGTTCTGTTATTGGGTAGCTTGCTTCTAAAAAGTGGCTCACCAATGAAACATTACCGGGTTCGGGGTTGCTCACCTCTCCTTCCAGAGTTGGATTCCAGGTTCTTGTCTCAAAATAGAATCGAACGAAATGAGCAAAAATTTGAGCTTATTTGAGAGAGTAAAAGTGAAGAGTGGGAGAAAAACTGGCTCTGCAGAGTGATCTTCGGCTGAGTGAATAGGAAAAGAGGGCGAGAGTAAAGATAAAAGTACACACCGTGCCAGGGAAACACAGCATGGGCTGTCATGGAACGCTAAGACAGCCAGCAGGGCTGGGCACTTCTCAGAGGGTCGGAAATTCATCATCTTTTTCCCCCAAGGGTCTCAGGTTGGAGGACTCCTGTCTGCTTT